ATATTAATAGGGATTTAAAAGTGTCCCAAAGTTTTTAAATTGAACTTTTTGATTATTTATATTGTGTCTTTGCAAGGTTTACATTATGTTTTTTAAAAATTGCGCTTCACTTCAATGAAGCGTGCGCTTCGCTTTTGAAGCGAGGCGAGCCCCTGTCGCTTTTTTTCGCTTCTCGCTCTCAAAAACACTGGGGTGGATGATGGTAGTAGACTAAGCTTTTGGGGACATAAATGGTGTGGAAATAACACTTTGAGTATCACTTTTCCTAACATGTACAGAATTTCATGTCAAAAGAAGTATATGGAGGATACAAGGTGGAGAAACACAATGGGATTTGAGGTTTAGAAGGATCTTGCAAGACTGGGAGTTCGTTCCAGGGAATGATGGAGTTTCTCCACAAGCAAAACAGTTCACAAAGTAGCCAAGATGGTTGGAGATGGGGGGAAGGGAATAGGGGTGTTTTGTTGGAGATGGGGGAAAGAGAATAGGGGTGTTTTTCTGTTAAAAGTCCTATTATGGAGCACTGCTGGATAAGAGTAGTTTCTATTGTTGTGTGGATCCGTAGAGTACCGAGAANCAGGCGCACACAATAAAAAATTAAAAAAATAATATATATATATATATATATATATATATATATATATATATATATATATATATTCCCACGTATTTCATGTTTATGCTACATGCTCCGGTCTCCGATACAAGGAAGTTGGAAAAGATTCAGAGGAACTTTTTATGGGCTCTACAAGTGGAGAAAGAAAGTTTCACCTGGTTAATTGGGAGACCATCACCACACCAAAGTACGGGGGTGGGCTTGGGATTTCTAAGGGTGTTTAATAAAGCACTACTTGGGAAATGGCTATGGAGATTTGGAGTAGAGGTGAATGCTCTCTGGAGGGAGGTGATTGTGGAAAAATATGGGGTGACAGAAGGGGGATGGAGGACTAAGAATACACTCGCTTATGGTTGCGGGGTATGGAGGAATATCTTAAAAGGGTGGGAAGAGTTTTTTGGGAATGTATCATTTAGGGTGGGTCAGTGTTTTGAAAAGCGAGCGCTTCGTCGCTTTAAGCGAGAAGCTGTCGCTTTTTCCTTACTGAGGCAACACGACCAGCAGAACCGATCCATTCAGCCAAAATAGCGAGAAGCGACCCAGAAGCGCAGATGCGCTCGCTTCTGGTAAGAGGGGTCATTTTGAAGAAAAAAAAAGTTTGGGTCTTTGTTTTGTTATACAAAACAGACCCAAAGTGAAAAGACCCTTCTTTGTCTTGCCAAAAATTGAATGTTAGCAGCAGCAGCCAACTAGGGTTCCAGCCTCCAGGTAATTTTTCTTCTTTTATTCTTCTCTTCTTTTTCTTCTTCTTCTCCTTTTCTCCTTTTTTTCAGTTTTTCTCGTCCAGTGTCTGCGCTAGTGCAGACGTTAGTTTTTTTTCCCCTTTTATTCTTCTTATTTATTAATTTTAATATGCATTTTGGTTTATAAAATTAATTATTATATATAGTTTATTTTTGATTAATTTTATATGTATTTTCAGTTTATAAAATTAATTATTATTATATATATGTGTTATATTTTCAGTTTATTATTTTCAGTGTCTGCGCTAGTGCAGACGTTATTTGATTATGTATTTTCTTATATTAATAGGGATTTAAAAGTGTCCCAAAGTTTTTAAATTGAACTTTTTGATTATTTATATTGTGTCTTTGCAAGGTTTACATTATGTTTTTTAAAAATTGCGCTTCACTTCAATGAAGCGTGCGCTTCGCTTTTGAAGCGAGGCGAGCCCCTGTCGCTTTTTTTCGCTTCTCGCTCTCAAAAACACTGGGGTGGATGATGGTAGTAGACTAAGCTTTTGGGGACATAAATGGTGTGGAAATAACACTTTGAGTATCACTTTTCCTAACATGTACAGAATTTCATGTCAAAAGAAGTATATGGAGGATACAAGGTGGAGAAACACAATGGGATTTGAGGTTTAGAAGGATCTTGCAAGACTGGGAGTTCGTTCCAGGGAATGATGGAGTTTCTCCACAAGCAAAACAGTTCACAAAGTAGCCAAGATGGTTGGAGATGGGGGGAAGGGAATAGGGGTGTTTTGTTGGAGATGGGGGAAAGAGAATAGGGGTGTTTTTCTGTTAAAAGTCCTATTATGGAGCACTGCTGGATAAGAGGAAGTAGTTTTTCCTTATTGTTTGGTGTGGATCCCTAGAGTACCGAGAAAGGTGTGTTTTTTGCATGGCTAGCTACAAGGGGGTGATTCTAACGGCTGAGAACTTGAGAAAGAGGAGAGTTACATGTGTCAGTTGGTGTTTCATGTATAGGTGTTTGGGAGAAGATTTAGATCACCTTCTCTTACATTGTCAAGTTGCATCTCGCTTGTAGGGGGGTGTTGGAGTGGTTTGGAGTTTAGTGGGTGATGTCAGGCTCAGGCATGGTTAAAGAAGTAATGTTCAGCTGGAAATTCAGAGGAGGAGAAGAAGACGCATGGCATAGGATGTCACTCCACTTGCACTCATATGGATCATTTGGAGAGAGCGAAATAGGAGAGCTTTTGATGGGATAGAGAAGGGATTTGTTCATTTCAGGAGTAGCCTCTTTTCTCTTATTATGTTTTGGTGCACCCATGAGATTCCTTTAAGAATAGAAGATCGGGTGTCTTTTGTACAGAACCATATTTTGTTGTGATGTTCTCTATTTTTTATATACTTCTTATACACGGGCATTTAGGCTCTTCATTAATGAAATTTTATTACTTTATCAAAAAAAAAATAATTTTATATAATATATATATATATATATATATATATATATATATATATATATATATATTTCTTTATTTTATTTTTCTTAGAAAGGAACACCACCTCAAAACGACATTTTTCCAGGGTCATTATGAAAAAAGAAAAAAGAAGTAAGCATATGAAATTCACTTATGTATTCGTTAGTCCTTGTTGTCAACTATCAGTCACACTAATGTTACAGTGTCTAATTGCCCCTCGAGCAAAATCCTGGGTCTACCAGTGCAGCGAAGGCAAACAGCAGGCGATTATAAGAGCTGGAAAAGAATCCATGTTACTCTGCATGTGATATCATTCTCACCTATAACTAAATCCAGAAAAGGGGAACATATAGGAGAGATTGGATGGGGAAAAATGATTTCTTTAACATGACATGATCACACGAGCCATTGACATAAATGGACAGGTTAACTCATCATGGCAGCTGCAGAACTTTCAACAAGTATGACATGATGAATAGTTGGATAACATACCTGGACACATATCAGGACATGACCCAATTATGACACCCGAAGAATCTGAGCCATGATAATCAGATAACAGATTGCCATTTGAGAAATCATCAGTTGAATCTACACTAACTTCTGCAACAAATTTTTGTTCGTCCATAACAGATTGATATTGTCTCTTCGAGGGACCCTTCTGATGAGTACTAGAATCATCTCGCACATTGTGGCTTAGGTCATCCTTGAAACGAGCTAAGCGCTTTGCCTTGGCCTCAGTTTCTCTGTCATCAAGAAAAGGATTTACAAAATAATAAACTTAGCAAGGATGAGCTGTATATCTGTATAGTTTCTTACCGTTGAATATCATCATCTACATGATTGGAGTCACCTTGATGAACTTGACCAGATGAAGGTACGGAAGGAAACTTGGTTCTTTTGGGAACTGGAAAGTTCATTGGCTTACTCAGATCAACTTCAACATTGACACCATTTCCAGACAGTGAAGACTTTTGAGGAGCTAGAGAGTCAGGGAGACCGTCTGACCTCATTTTGGAAGGAGAGGTGGAAGGCCTGAATAAACAATTTACGGAGAGCAGGAAATCAATGGCGAATTCATCCAAACTACTTTTTTCCTTCAAAATTCAAATGTATATATCCTTTTTTTTCTTTTTTGCAGTACTCTCAATTCCGTGCTGTAATATAACAACTTATGGCAGATGTATATAAAATGTTGTCAAAAACACAATTTCATATGCTTCTCATCAAAGTCTTCTTCAGTTGCCTTTTAAACTAGACGTCATTGAGATATTGATCCAGCCAAGATAAACTGAGGGAAACACAGATCTTTTTGAGTTTCAGATATGAATTGAGCCAACTATCAAGCAGGCTATCAGGATGCTCTGATCACAACCTTCTGCGAGTTTATTTTGTTTATGTTCCATATTTATGCAAGAATCTAGGGTATTCGCCTTTCTTCCATATTCTTGTTTTTGTGGGAATCAACAAGGTCTACCAGCAGAAGGCTCCCCCAATAATTGCTTGACTGAAAAAAAGAAAATTTGCAGCATTTTGCAGGCTCCCATGATAATTGCTCGGCATAAGAAAGAAAATTTACAACACAGATAACAATAAAAATAGTTCTGACAAGGAAAAAACTTAGTTTGGATAAGAAAAACACGTGACACCTTGCACCTTTCAGGCAAGCCTTTTCATTGACATTCTCTGTGCTTGTCAAAGTAAAAATACACAGAATTAGCAGCAAGGATTTTTCTGTTGTACCTTTTGGATTCACGTAGACCAAAAGCTGAGTTTTCAAAAGAAGCGCCATTAGGAGATGAAAGAGGCGGGGACCTTGTTCTTTTTGAGACTTGGTCAGCATGCTTCACTGCGATCTTTCTTCCAGGATCATAATTTGTTGGAATCGAGGACATCTTTTGTTGAGGTAATCGGATTGGAAAGTTTTGGAACGACTGGGATGAGTTGCCCAGCATATGAGGGGGCAGAGAAGGCCTTCATGACAAATCCACAGTAAAAGAGAGTTAGAACCTTCAATCAGAAGAATTGCCTACTGGCAAGTCAGTTACAAGTGTCTGAGAAAGAGGATGGTCCTAAATGATGAGAACATAATTTTTGGGACAAAAAATGTAGCTTTACTTAGTAGAAGTTCTAAACATAATATCACTACAAGCATACCGAAGCATGAGAAATCCTCAATAAAAACATTGAAAGAGGAAAAAAGATTTAACGGGTATAACAACTAGCAGGACTTCATGAGGACCAAATGACACGTGTAATCAGCCAATTGAGGATTAGAAGAAAAAGAATAGCCAAAAAGTGCATTCAAGAACTTCAATTAAGTATCTTTCTGTACACTTATCTGATAGAAAACCCAATCATCAGAATCCACTGCAACCAGCCCTACCATCTTACAAATATTTCTCGCCAAAATTGCAATATGAAATTGCTTGCACTGACTTTATAAGCTTGTTCAGAGTTACAGAGCATCGGCCAAGAATAAAATAATGAAAATTTGATGTGGAAGAACAAAACCAGAGTACGCATGATCCTACAAGTATTCAGTGCGAGACGTAACAGATCATTAATAAAATATAACAAATAAATTTCTTCATGCAAGAGTTCTTTTATGCTTCTCAGATGTTCAATAGAACAAGATTGTCCAACAAACAAAAAGCATGCACATCTCAAAGAGAACTAAGCTGGTCCACAACCATCAGTTCAGTCATCAGATAGTTTACTTCAAAGACTACCAAAAGAAGATTTTTTCCAAAGACCGCAAGACAAACCAGATTTTCTTTATTTCTTCAAGGTATCTACAATAAGAAATTACTCGATTAAAAATAAAAGATTTACATATGCATAGCACGTTTTAGAGGTAAGCAACCTAGTATCTTTTTTTGGTTCAAACGGCAGCAAGGATGCATATGCGACTGCAGATATTTTGAGAAGGTGAAATCCAATGGATGGTGCTTATGAGAAAAGGTCCAGGAAAGGACATCAATATTTTGCTACTGCACCAGCAAGATGCTAATCAAATGCTGACTGCTGTCTGGAACATGTTTGGGTTGAATGCATTATGGCCAATTATTGAAAGGAATTGTTGTTAAGCAGGAAAATTGGAACAGAGATAATGTGGTCAATAGTGAAGTAAAAAACTCTTGAAGGGACAGAGAACTGCCCATATCAAACTTCCTTTTTCCTTTTTGGTTCATTTTTCAGCAATGCATGGTAATCCGACGTGTATAGATACTGGTTCTTTGTAAATAACTGTATTTTCTTTGTTAAGGTTCTACCGCATACCTCTTTTCCCTTTTGACATTATTAAACGCCGTAAGTGTAAAGATCCAAAGAGGTAAACATGGAGATACCAACAGCTTTTTAATGAAGAATATAAAATATTGTCGATTGATTTGGCTTCTGGTCCCTTCTAGTATCAATGAAACTAAAAAGTTTTTGCACTTTTTCTGTCAGGCAGTAATCCCTTCGACTTTCTCTTTCAAATATGACATAGTGAAGCTAATAAAATGATCATATCCTCTCTTCTAAACTATTGTGTACCTATTCTATCTCAAAACTTGAAAAAATAACAACTCTGCAACAACTGAAAGAAACCATGATCAGAGATACTTCCCTCAGCTTAGAGGATGATCTCAAAATAAAAATGGATAATTTACTGCATCTTCTCATAACCAATCCCTCGACAAGACCGCTTCTCATAACCCAGACATCCATTTCTTTTTTTTTTTAATAATTGTTGTGTTGGGGCCAGCTTGCGTGCACCTCGATTAATTCTACGGGGGACTTGCTACCTCCTACCAGCACAAGTACCGGTAACTGTGTCCACCAAGGCTTGAATATATGAAAAAATCACCTAGTGCTTTTGCCTCCGCTGGGATTTGAACCTAAAACCTCATAGTTCTCAATCCACTTCATTGACCACTAGGCCACACCCTTGGGTGCCGCACAGACCTCTATTTCTTTTTACTGGTGACACTCCTATTTGTCAGTCCTTTAGACTGAGCCAAAGCGGACTATAACAAAAGCCAAGATGTTGTATAGGAAATGGCATTAGGGTAGTACATTACATGTATACTAGAAAGTCAAGATGGCATTAGGGTAGTACATTACGTGTATAGTTGCAATACCCCAATGATATCAACTACGGATTCTAAGTCTTCTATCACAGCATGTTAATACCGAAACTAACAAAAATATACAGCTATATGCATATGCTAGTTAATTGAGACAATATTCAATTAAAAAGCACCATGTGAGAGAGAGAAAGAAGTCATTGAGGCCAAACTAACCACTGAGCTTCACCAAGAGGACTTTGGCCATCTACATGTACATTGTTCTGAAAAGCCAACGGAGTTGACCGTGTACTCTGGGGAAACAATCGACTCTTATTTTGGAATGATGGAGATGATTGATTTTGCTGGGTAACAAAGTGACCCTGATCACTGAATATCAAATCTGAACGACTACCAAAAAAAGTAGGGAGAATTAGAAAGCTCATGGTGCATTTTAAGTGAAAAAGTTAACAATTCCCGCACTGTAACCATTAACAAACAAGACAGTATACTCTGCAGCAAAATGCTTATTGAGTTTCTTAAGACAACCCATACACAAGAGAAATTACATCTAGAATCAAACGGAATGTTTCAAATAAGACAGAACAGTATTTTCGGGAAAATAGAAGGAAATAAAATTATACCTTCCCCTCATTGTCCTGGAGGCTCCCGGAATCTCTGCATCAGAAGGCAATGAAGAACGTGGCCCAGTTCTTCGGAAATCTTGAACTTGGGCACCTCTGGCAGAGAGGGCATTTTCAGAAAACCCTGAAGCTACAGGTGGCACTACTTCGGGAGATAGTTGGTGGGCTTGGGCATCATAATCATGGTAGATGTATTTTTGCCCATAACTCCATTTAGGAAGAGTCTCACTACGCCTACAGGAAAAATTGACAAATTGAGTTAGCTTTAACGTGTAGATATAATCTCCAAAAATACATGACGCCTGATCCTAAGATTTTCATGAATTAAGCATTTCAATTCGCTATTGCGAAAATCACCTGGATGAGTTGTGAATCAAGAAAAAAATAAGTTATCAGTAGATTGTCCAAGCAACTAGTTAATGGTTATCTGTCCAAAGAGTAGTTAACTATCACATGTTTTAATTATTAAGGTGCTAAAATCTGCACTTCTTATCGCACTGAGAAAAAAACTGGCCGAGAAGCTAATATGCTTAATGTTTAAACATGATTGGTTGTTTCGCCACTAACGTCAATTAGACCAATTTACAAGTAGGATCGATGCCTTAAAACATTTACTTATCGATAACTTGTGGTGAAAAGAACGTTGTTTGGGTGGAAGGTGTTTATAAGGTCATTTTCAAGTAGTAAGGAAAAAGAAAAAATTGACATTTCCTTTTTTTTTTCATAGTAAGCAAACAAGTTATATTAGAAATGAACCAAGGGTGCAAAATATGGTTTCAGATATATATTCTCTAACAACTTCTTGGGTTGTGGCCAACCATGTTAAGAACATCCTCTACCACTCAAACAAATAATTGCTTGCACACAACTATGCTACTGACAAAGGCAAATATAAAGAAAAAAAGGAATTTTCAAGGTTTATTACCTCTGTTCTCCAGCAAAAGCGCGAGATGGAGCTGCTATAGGATGGCGTCCAACAAAAGGCAAGGGTTGTGGATGTATCCTTTCCGGAGCTTCAAATCCCCTGAACCAATTTAAAATTGAGATATTCAATGAGGAATTTGGTGTCACCGTCTCTAAACATCCTAACTTCTAGGTTTCTTCCAATAGTAAGAACTCTCTTTTGGTTAATCAATTAAAAGTAACCGCTGCCTCCAAAAGGCCAGTCAAGCATTACTATAAAACATACTTGAAGAAATCATAATATTCCAGGAAAAATATTTCCAATTTCTGAATATGTCTAAAACACTGGGAAATTTGAACTGAATATGTTTGAACCTGCTAGTTTATGAAGCAGCTGATATGAAAATGCAAAGAAGAAGAGAATACCTGGGAGATGGGGGGAAAGTAGGAGGAGGAGGTGAAGGAGTACGGGGAAAATTCCCAAAAGGGGTTTCCGTTTTGGGAGGGCCAATGGGACCTGTATTCTGCCTGAATCCCTGAAACGCCATTCTACTTCTTGAGATTCAATCCCGACTGAATATGAATAGTAGTTTGTTTACTCTCTCTTCATTCTAATTGATGTTGGGGTTTTTCTTCAACAGTTCAACTGCATCTATGTGGGCTTGCGGTCCTGCTTCCTCTGAGAACGAACAAACGAAGAAGAGTGCCCAAGTTTGGGCCAGCCCTGTCCAGCTGAAATTTAACTCTGAATCTCCCCTAACAAAAAAGAAGATTATATTTTTAACAACATTGCGTTATTTGTTCACAAATACCGGAAGACCAAGACGACGGTATTGAAAGACTTGAAAGTATATGGTGCAAAGTGCTTTTTTTTTATTTACTTTTCAGCATTTTTCATTCAAATAAAATTTTAGAATTTTCATTGCATATATTCTACCTCTGTTGCATTGGCAAAATACCCCAAAATAAATGCAATCGAAAACTTCAAGGCCAAGTTTGAAAGATTTTCGAATATTTTAAGGGAAACCAAACAGGACCATTTATTTCCTTTTTCTTCTTGTTGGTAGCAATACCCTGTGTTTTGTTTACTTTTTCTATTTTGTCTTAAGAAATAAAGCAAAACTACTATTGAGAAATAATAAACCAAAGGTTGGTTTTCATGAAAAATAAACAAAAACATTCCCATTACATGTCATATTGAACAAAATTATTTTTTTCATTATTTTTCTAATATTTAAATCTTTATATTAATTTATATTTTGGCCATTAAATTACACCTCATTTATAATTGAATACGATTGTATTAATAATAAATTTCTTGCCAAATATTAGAACTTTGAAATTAACTAAAATTTTATACTATATTATGAAATGCAGCTGAAGACTCCACTTTAGCAAATGAAACTCTTTAAGGTATAAAATTCAATTTGAATAAATTGATACGTACTTCATACCACTTAATTTTTGATTTATTTGCTAAATTAATTTTTCAGATTTATAAATACATGTTTCGAACAGTGCATATATATATATATATATATATATATATATATATATATATATATATATATATATATATATATATATATATATACACACACACGATTGAGGACTTCTATAGGACAATATTACTTTATTGTTGAGTTAGCTAATTAACAAGGCCAACAATCGTCATTTTCAAAGCTTACACTTTTTAAAACTTTTATTTAATAGCTCAAGCACAATATTTAATATAATATTCATGCTAGTTGTTAAAATTTATACTTATTGAGAAGGGATACACGCGCAACGCGTGTATTAAAAGTACTATGAATTTTAATGAATATCGTTCGTCTTTTTCTTTTAAAATAGAGCTCACATAGGACAACACCATTATTTTGATTATTTTCCAAATATTTATGATTATATATTTTACTGTTTGATTTTCCTTTCGATAACCGAGAATTTTAGCAGGCAAAGCTTATTGAAAGGATAATAGTTAAAAGGATTTTAATCGAGTGATATTTAAGTGGCTCTTCTTTTTTTCTTTTTTTTTTTTTGATAAAACTAACTTTTCATTCCATAAAAAAAAACTGCCTTTACAAACCAGATTAATGCTGACCATCAATCTGCTACTCAATATTACAAGTAATTAAACTAGATACACTATCATCAAAGACTAGCTACTTCTAAGGGTATTTGTTCAAACTTTGCAATGCTTGTTGCCATTTGATTTTGATCTCCCTTTGTATGTGCATGTGTAGAGCAATCTCTTTACATATCACATACACCATGTATCTACCTTTGTTGAATCTAATGGAGTTTCTTTCACGCCAAGTACAGTACTGTACCATCGCAAAAGCTGCAGTGGTAATGTCTGCCTTGCCATTTTTCCTTTTTGCTATACTACTGATCCACTCTATTTCATCTTGCCAGCATCCAATTTTCCTTATAACTCCCAGCCACCTTAGTATTCTATCACATACTATACTTGTGCTTGGACAGTCAAAGAAAAGGTGGTCAAATATTTCCATACTTCTAGCACAGAACACACAATCCTGTGGCACTTGGATTCCAAACTTGAGTAGTCTGTCCACAGTCGCTAACCTTTGAAGAATTGCCAACCATAGGTGAAACTTGAATCTTGGGTGAACCTGTGTATGTAGATGAATGCTCTTCCAACTGACCTTGGAAAACTGAGGCAACATATGGATATATGCTCTTTGAATTTGGAATCTACCTTGCTTCACCATGTCTGCCAATGCTGTATTGAGATTGACTTGCACTGAGTTCACCTGCACCAAGTCTCTCTTTTCTTCTATTATCTTTCTGACCACCCAAGCTGCTGTCTTAGGTGTGTCCATTGTAGTAATGTCCTTGTGTTTTATGTAATAACTATGAGTCCATTTGATCTATAAGACATCTTTCTTCATTATCAATGCCTATAACTGCTTCAAAATTGCTACTTTATTCCATATCCTCATATTGATGATGTTCAATCCTCCTGCTACTTTTGGCTGGCAAATCTTGTCCCAAGCTATCAATGCTTTCCTGGAAATGGCATTTGATCCAGTCCAAAGGAAAGTTCCGCATATGGTTTATATCATCTTCATGATCTTCTTAGGCAGTAAGAAAATTTGAGCCCAGTAAGTCTGTATGCCAAATAACACAGACTTTATGAGTTGCACCCTTCGAGAATAAGATAGCATCCTAGCTGATCAGTAGTTCACCCTTTCAGTAATCTTCTCCACCAGTGGTAGGCATTGGTGTATATTTAGCTTCTTTGCAGATAGAGGAACTCCCAGGTACTTAAAAGGAATAGATCCCTCTGTGTATCCAGTGAGATTAAGTAATAGCTCTTTGATATGTTGTTGAACACCAGCAATATACATAGAGCTCTTATCTGTATTTGCCTGAAGTCCAGATGCAGCAGAGAACCTACAAAAGGTTTCCTGCATTTTGGTTACTGAGGTTATGTCTGCCCTGCAAAACATTAACAAATCATCAGCAAAACAAATATGAGTCACCCCTAGTTTTTTGCATCTTGGATGGTATTTGAACTCCTTTGAGATTGACAGTTAGCTCATCTCTCTTTGTAAGTACTCCATTGCAATAACAAATAGATAGGGAGACATTGGATCCCCTTGTCTAATCCCTCTTCTTAGCCTGGAAAGGTTTGGTAAGGCCACTGCCAAAGAATATGATACTGTTGACACACATTCCATTACCCAATGGATGAATTTTTTGTGGAAAACCAAGGTCAGTGAGCATACACCTAAGAAATTGCCAATCCAATGAGTCATAGGCCTTTTTAATGTCAACCTTAGGCACACACCTAGGAGATAGACCTTTCCTATTATAGCCTTTGAACAACTCATGGCTAAATAGAATATTGTCAATGATACTCCTTCCTTCAATAAAAGCATATTGAGACTTCCCAATAATCACCTCAATTACTTTTTTTATTCTTCAAGTTAGGATCTTGGCAACAATTTTATACAGAGTAGTGCAGCAAACTATAGGCCAATAGTCCTTCACTTTTGTTGGAGCTAGGACTTTAGGAATCAATGTAATGGTTGTGCAGTTCCATGCTGGCTTCATTCTACCTGTATGAAAGAAGTATGAAATAGCCTCATAAATGTAACGACCTGACCGGTCGTTTTGAGCTCTAGCACTCCATTCAACAGCCTGAGGCCGTGAGCAGCTTCATTTCAGGTACTATGACTTGTGCGCGTGGTCGGAATTGAATTTTGGGAAGTCCAGAGTTGAATTGGTAGGAGAATTTTCATTTCGGAAGCTTAAAGTTGAAAGAATGAACTAGAATTGGATTTTTGAGTAGACGATCTCGGAATCGGGATCTGAAGGTTCCAGCAGGTTCGTATGATGATTTCGGACTTGGGCGTATGCCTGGTTCGGTTTTCGGACAGCCCGGGAGCGTTTTGGCGCCTATTGTGGAAGTTAGCATTTTAGAAGAAATTTTATAAGTTTGGCTTGAAGTGCATTTCAGTGTTATCGATGTCCGTTTGGGATTCTGAGATTGTGAATAGATCCGTATGGTGATTCCAGAGTTGGGGGCACGATCGGAAGTGAATTCAGAGGTCCGTGGGTCATTTTTGAACCATTTGGCTAAAGATAGAAATTTTAATGTTTTTGAGAAGTTTGACCGGAGGTGGACTTTTTGATATCGGGGTCGGAATCCAATTCCGAAAGCTGGAGTAGGTCCGTAATGTCGAATATGACTTGTGTGAAAAATTTGAGGTCAATCGGACGTGATTTGATAGGTTTAAACATCGGAAGTAGAAGTTTGAAATTTCGAAGTTCATAAAGCTTGAATCGGGGTGTGATTCATGGTTTTAGCGTTGTTTGATATGATTTGAGGCCTCGAGCAAGTCCGTAATGTGTTTTGGGATTAGTTGGTAGGTTTGGTTGAGGTCCCGGGGGCCTCGGGTGGATTCCGGGTGGCTAACGGATCGAATTCGGAGTTTGAAGAAGGGCTGGAGCTGCTGCTTCTGGTATTTCCGCTTCTGCGGATTTGGGACCGCAGAAGCGGCCCCGCAGAAGCGAGGAAGAAGCCGCAGAAGCGGTTGGATTGAAGCAGCCCAGGACCGCAGAAGCGGCCCTAGATCTGCAAAAGCGGAACCGCAGAAGCGGTGGGCCGTCCGCAGAAGCAAAAATTGGGCTGGAGCCCAGTGTCCGCATAAGCGGCGTTTTGTCCGCAAAAGCGGGACCGCGGAAGCGAAAATATTTTCGCAGAAGCGGAAATTGCTGAGGCAGTGAGGGTGTTTTAAAAATCGGATCTTGGCCATTTTTCTCATATTTTTCATAGCTTGGGCGATTTTTGGGGAGCTTCAAGAGAGGGTTTTTCGTCATCAATGATAAGGTAAGTTATCCCCACCTATTATGAGTTAAATACATCAATTATGTAAGGATTTGAGCATGAAATTGGTTGAAATTTGGGGGTTTTGGTAGAAAGACCTAGAAATTATATTCTTGGAATTTAACCACGATTTTGAGTATGGAATTTAGTGAAAATTATATATTTGAGTTCCTAAGGTCATGGGTAATCTTTATCTTCGAAAAATTTCGGATTCCGGGCATGTGGGCCCGAGAGCGTTTTGGGCAACTTTTCGATCGGAGTTAGGAATTTCTATAAATTAGATTGTAATGATTAATGGAGCATATATTAATGGATTTGCATAACCGTTGGCTAGTTTTGGAGCGTGGTGCATCAACTAGAGTCTTCGGAAGGGCGTGGAATGCCGGTTATGGACCTTCAGAGCGAGGTGAGTCTCCTTTCTAACCTTGTAAGAGGGAATTGTCCCCATAGGTGAAATAATTGATTATGTGCTCCTATTTGCGGGGGCTACTTACGCACGAGGTGACGAGAGTCCGTGCGTAGCTACTATTATGCTATTGTCCGGGTAGTTAGGGCCCAAAAACATGTTATACTTGGATTATTTATGAACCCATTGATAGCTTGAATTGCTTGAATCACCTTGGATTAGTAAATGAATTTAAAAGGAGATTAAATATCATTTTTCCTGAATTGTTAAAAAGAGAAATTGTTTTATTTGGGTAAATATTCCCGATAAGTTCTTAATTGACTGATTGAGCATGTATCTCTATGTGTACCGGCGTCGCATGCATGATTCGCGAGCAGGGCATGTGTTTATTTATGGAACGGGCCGAACGCCTTGGCAGATTAAATAGATGCATCTATGGTTCGCGCCGTTCGACCCTCGGCAGTGCACAGTTTACCTTTCTGTTGGAGCGGGCCGTCGACCTCGGCATGATTTGCGCATGATATATATATTGTTGCCTGAGAATTTTAAATGTTGATATTGCCTTTCATGGCTTGATATAAATTGATAAGATAATGAAAAGTAAATCTTGAAAATCCTCTATTATTTGTTAAAGGTGTTTACCTGTTTTCTGGCTTCGTGAATTAGAACTGCTATATAGATCCATGATCTCCTCACATTTTTAGTATATTGTCAATTGACCTCTAGTAAGTCTCGAAGTTGACCATCTCGCCTTTACTTCTTCGAGATTAGACGGGATACTCATTGAGTACACGTTGTTTACGTACTCATACTACACTTTTGTGCATTTTTGTTGTACAGGTATATTTATCTCTAGCAGCCCACTGGGCATAGCAGCACAGATGATTCGGGGACTAGGTGAGTTGCATTATTCGAGGCGGCCCGCAGCTAGTAAAGTCCTTTCCAGTAAATTGTATTTTCTTTCTGTCCACTGTATTCCGGACGGATGTTGTATTGTATTTTATTTCCTTATCAGTAGATGCTCATGCACTTGTGACACACGGTTCTGGGATGGTTTTTAAATATTTTTGTATTGATTGCTAGTATTTAATTTGAATTGAAGCAGTTATCTTTTTACTTATGAAATTTAAAGGAAAATCTTGGTTTCCAAAATTGTTAAAATTGGAGTTTAATTAAGTATTTGGTTGGCTTGCCTGACAGCGGTGTCCGGCGCTATCACGACCCTTAATGGATTTTGGGTCGTGACAATAAATGTCCTGCTTTACTGTCTCCCAATGCTTGGTAAAGAATTCTATAGGGTAACCATCAACTCCAAGGGCTTTGTCCTTGGGCATCTCCCTTACTGCTTCATCCACCTCATCATGTGTTAGCTCCTTTATTAGTTCCTACTGATGCTGTATTGTGAGACAATCTCCTGCTTTAATGATTCTGGTATTTGGACATGGCATTAACCCATTGACTTTCCCCATTAGCTGAGTGAAAAAGTTGGTAAACTCTTTTTCCACAGCTTTTGGATCAGTGATCTTTGCTCCCATGTCATTATACACAGTGGTGATAGTATTCTTGCTGGCCCTAATTTCATCTATGCATAGAAGTACTTAGAATTTGAATCACCATAATCAATCCATGTTACTCTAGACTTCTGCCTCAGTATCCTTTCCTCTATAGTACTCCATTTCTCCAATTCATTCATAGTCTGTTTCTCCTGTTCTATCAACATCTGATTAAAAGGATCAAGGGTCAAATTAGCTTGAGTGCATCCCAATCTCTGCCTTATTTGAGTCAATCTTTGCTCATAACTTTCCATCTCCTTATTCAGTCCTTTGGCCTCATCTTTTAGTTTGTGTAGCTTCTGCCATATAGTAGTCATAGGATCTTGCTCATCTTGTTGTTGCCATACTCTATCCACCATAGCCCTAAAGTCCTTATGCTCCATTGTTACCATGTATAACTTGAATGGCTTGGGATGAATAGTTCTTCTTTTCCATATTTGAACAATAATTGGAGAGTGGTCAGAAACTCCATGTTCTAGAAAGTCAGCTTCCAAATGCCCATAGTTTTTAGTCCAGCTGAAATTGCCAAAAGCCCAGTAAATCTTACTGTATACTCTATCATTTGCATTCTGCTTGTTGCACCATGTATAAAAACATCCCTTTGTTCTTAATGGGGCTAGCTGCATATTGTCAATACATTGCTTGAAATCCTGTACCTCACTTGCTGTCACTGGTTGTCCTAACCTATCATCTGTGGTTAAGACATTATTGAAATCTCCACTTCTGAGCCAAGGCACTTGGATTTGCCCCTCTACCAGCTGCAAATCATGCCATAGAATTACCCTTTCCTGCACCTTGTTCCTAGCATAGACAACTGTCAACATGATCTGGGAACTGGTTACTGGATCTTCCACTGAGCAGTGAATGAATTGCTCATGAATGTGGACTATCTTTACAATCAAGATTGTCTTCCATAACAACCAAATTCTTCCATTTATAGCTTTAGTATAATTACAGCAATATCCCCAATCTTTGGCTACCTTATTCACTATATTATTTGCCTTATTTTTCTTTACTCTAGTTTCTAGACGTCCAAGAATGTCTACTTTATTCTTTTGCAGAAAGAGTCTTAACTCCTTCTGTTTATAGGGCTTATTCAACCCCCTTATATTCCAGGCGCTTATGATCATGGTGGCTTTTGGATAGGTTCAGTAGCAATCCCATCTCCTTGTGCAGAACTCTGCCCACACTCTCCCAGTATTGTGAACCTGTTAGTAGTGCTAGCTTCTACAATATGAGTCTTGCTGCATTGCAACTGGACTATGTTGCACCCTACTTTCTTCATTCCTGCTTATCACCTGCATCATTTGAGTAGAGCCATTCACAGATACTGTCTTCTGATTACCCTTTTCTGTCTCAGTTTATGGGTGCTCTACATCATCCCCCTCTATTACCTCTCCTTATTCTTGTTGTTCCTTTGGTTTCCATTCCTGTACTACTTTCTTCCTTCTGCCCCTATTTCTTCTTTTAGGAGCCTTAAACTCAGCATCTTTATGATTCTTGTGGTTTGTCCTCCAACATTCAAAGTTGTCGTGGCCAAAGTGTACACATTCACTACAAAATTTTGGCCTCCACTCATAGAGTATTTCCTGTTGCCTATTCCCAGAAGGAGTAACAATCTCTATACTTTCCACTAAAGGCTTAGTGATATCAACCTTCACCAAAACTCTTGCATAAGAAATTTTGTTCAAGTCTGCTGTGAATCTATCAGTGTACATGGGTAGTCCTATAGCACTAGCCATCTTGCTCAGTGCATCGGCAGTCCAGTATCCAGCAGGTAAGCTAGGGAAGTGAATCCACAAAGGGATTGTTGTTATACATTTAGGGTCAAAGTGAAAATCCCTTTCCCAATTCTGCAAAATGAACGGTTTGTTGTGATACGAGTAAGGACCTGCTTGCATAACTAAGTCCCTTTCCTTAGTTGTAGAAAATCGAAACACATAATACCCATCATTGTGATATAGAGTTTGAGGTTCAGAAACAAAATCCCATACAGATTCTATATAATTCTCCATAGATTTCTCATATGGAGCATCACTAAGGACATATCCAATTAAGGCAGTCGCCCAGTGGTCGTTCAACCCACTTACATCTTCCTCAGCAATTTGAATAACTATCTTACCATCTCGATGACTTGGTGGAACATATTCCAGTCGCATTCCCATCCGAGAATTACGATTCTGCTGCTTGAGCTCCTTTGCATGATGTTCTTGCTCCTTCCTAGTCCCTGTTGTTGCTGCATGTTGTTCTAGATCTGGAGATGGTTGTGCAGAAGATCCAGCTTCAGAGAATTGTAATCTTCTCGGAATTGTTGGCAATTGGTCCTTGCATATTTGAATTTCCTTCTCCTTCACTACTTCAGTACTGTTCCATTGCTTACTGTTGCATTCATCCTCATCAATTAGCTCATTTTCCTCTCAAATTGGTTGGAATCGAGTGGGGAGAAAGCTACCAAACGTTAATGGAGTGAATGTTTGCATCCCTGAGGTCATCGGAGTTACAGTAGCGGTCGTCGTTACTGGTTGTTTGTATCTTCTAGACATCGACAGTGCACGTTAGCCTACCTTGGCTTACGTGCGCCGAGAGCATTTATATGCATTTGTCCTTTAAAAACTCGATAGTGACTCTTCTTTTCTTTATTATTATTTTTTATTTAAATTTGAAGCGGAAGTTTGTAAAAGAGTGTGCTCATCATAACACATTTTGAAGACTAACTTTAGCAAAAGGAAGCTAAGCTCGCATTGACCCAATATTTGACATACGACGGAATTTTAGGAACTTCCCTTTTTGTTAATTTTTATTTTACAAATCAAAACTAATTTTTCAATTTTATTATATTATTTTTAAAAAGATTATTCTTATTGATATACATAGCGCAACGCACGCAACCTAAGACTAATTAAAAAATTGGGTAACTACGGTTTGTGGATATTAACAAAGAAGGCTAAATTAAGTTAGTGTCTTAAAGCTAAGTTTTAATACGAGCCCTTAGATTTTTTTTAAATAAAATGTATACAAATATACACGCGCACAAAAAAGATTAGTGTTCACCTTTTTATATTGTGCTAGTCATTTATAGCATATATAGTATTCTTACAAGACATAAAGTCTTTAACTTCATATAGTAATATTATTATCAAAAAAGGGTCAAAATTGCCCCTATACTATCTGCATATGGACACTTTTTCCCCCTTGATAGTTGGCAATTTTTTTGCTCCTGCCGTTATGAAACTGGCACATATTTGGCCATGTAATTTGCAAAAGGTTCACTTTTGTCCTTTGCCACTAACGGGGTTATTAAAAAATTAAAAAATTAAAATAAATATGAACAAAGTCCTAAACTATCCTTCAAGTTTGCAAAATATTTACTTTTGCCCTCAATAAAATAATTTGGCTAATGTTTCCCCTTTTCACTAAGGGATCTTTTTTTAACCGCAATTTATGCATATTAAAATAATAAAAAAAATACGTCACGACGAACTGAACCTCCTCTTATGTATCATCACCACCCCTCCCCCTTTACCTTAAATTAAGTAGAAATTTAATTTCAAAAAAATTAATCATTAAATATATCTACCCACAATGCAAAATATATTAAAATCCATGAACTAGAAGTAAATGATTGAAACAACAACAACAATCCAGTAAAATCCCACAAGTGGGGTCTGGGGAGGGTAGTATGTACGCAGACCTTACCCCTACCCCGAAGGAGTAGAGAGGCTGTTTCTGGAAGACCCTCGTCTCAAGATAATAAGAAAAACAAAAAGGAGAGAATATTAGTTTCACCACAGAGGTCATACGAGAAATAGGAACATAAAATGCATAAGGAAAAATGCAAAACAAAAATGATGGCTAGTAAATAGGTCCTGCACCGAAAAGAGAAAATAGTAAGACACGACAATGCCCCTAGCTATTCAGACAAAAACCCTACCAGACTAGGCTCACAACAGTACAAGGTAACGTAAGACTCAACTACCTCCTAGCCTACAACTGTAATACTCGACCTCCACAACTTCCTATCAAGTGTCATGTCCTCGGAAATCTGAAGCCTCGCCATATCCTGCCTGATCACTTCTCCCCAATACTTCTTAGGCCGCCCTCTACCTCTTCTCGTGCCCTCACACCTCCTTACTGGAGCATCTGGGCTTCTCATCTGTACATGTCCGAACCATCCGAGCCTCGCTTCCCGCATCTTGTCATCAATGGGAGCCACGTGCACCTTCTCCCGAATATCATCATTTCTAATCTTGTCCATCCTAGTGTGCCCGCACATCTACCTCAACATCCTCATTTCTGCTACTTTCATCTTTTGGATATGTGAGTTCTTAACAGGCCAACACTCAGCCCCATACATCATGGCCGGTCTAACCACCGCTTTATAAAACTTACCTTTGAGTATCGTTGGCACTCTCTTGTCACACAAAACTCCGGATGCTAACCTCCACTTCATCCATCCTACCCCAATACGGTGTGCGACATCCTCATCGATCTCCCCTCCCCCGTGGATAACCTACCCAAGGTACTTGAAGCTGCCTCTACTTGGGATAACCTGTGATTCAAGCCTCACATCCAGGCCCACTTCCCCCGGCTCAGTGCTGAACTTATACTCCAGGTATTCCATCTTCGTTCTGCTCAGCTTGAAACCTTTAGACTCAAGAGTCTGTCTCCAAACTTCTAGTCTCTCGTTATCACCGACTCGTGACTCATCTATCAGAACTATGTCATCGGCAAATAGCATGCACCATGGCACCTCCCCTTGAATATGGTTTGTTAATGCATCCATCACCAGGGCAAATAAGAACGGACTGAGCGCGGAGCCTTGGTGTAACCCCATTTCAACCGGAAAATGCTCAGAGTCACCTCTTACTGTCCTAACCCGAGTCTTAGCCCCATCATACATGTCCCTAATCGCCATAATATAGGGAACTGACACATCTTTTATCTCCAAGCATCTCCAGAGAACTTCTCTAGGAACCTTGTCATACGCTTTCTCTAGGTCAATAAACACCATGTGCAGATCCTTCTTTCTCTCTCTGTACAGTTCCACCAACCTCCTAACAAGGTGTATAGCTTCTGTGGTAGAACGACCCGGCATGAACCTGAACTGGTTGTCGGATACAGAAACTATCATCCTCACCCTCGCTTCAACGACCCTCGTCCATACTTTCATGGTATGACTCAGCAATTTGATACCCCTATAATTGTTACAACTTTGGATATCACCTTTGTTCTTATACAATGGAACCACCGTACTCCACCTCCACTCATCCGGCATCCTCTTCGCCTTAAAAATAACATTAAACAACCCAGTCAACCACTCTAAACCTGCTCTCCCTACACACTTCCAAAATTCCATCGGAATCTCGTCTGGCCCGGTTGCTCTGCCCCTACTCATCTTACGCATAGCCCCTACAACCTCCTCAACCTTGATATGCCTGCAGTGCCCGAAGTCATGGTGACTCTCAGAATGCTCCAATTCGCCTAGCACAATATCCCGATCCCCTTTTTCATTCAGAAGTTTATGGAAGTAAGTCTGCCATCTCCTCTTAATCTGGGTGTGACGACCCGGCCCGTCGTCTCATGAGTTACCGCTTCGTTTCCCCCATTTTATGCATCTTCATGTTTCGTTATCGGTGTGCAGTGTGTTAGAGTTGATTTGGATTGGTTTTGATAAGAAAGGAGACACTTAGTCTCTTTAAGGAAGGCTTAAGTTGGAAAAGTCAACCGGATGTTGACTATTGAGTTAGAGGGCTCAGATGCAATTTCTGGTGATTCGGTTAGCTTCGGGGGATGATTTGTGAATTAGGAGCGTGATCGGAATTTATTTTGGAAGTCCGGTGTAGAATTAGGCTTGAATTGGCGAAGTTAGTATTTTGGCGAATTCCGGTTGATGTGTGAGATTTTGATCCGAGGGTTGGATTGAAATTCCGAAGTTGCAGTAGCTTCGTTAGGTGATTTTGGATGTGTGTGCAAAATTTCAGATCATTCGGAGGTGTTTTGGTCGGGTTTTTAATCGAATGCGTATTTCGGATGTTTTTGAAGAACTTAGGCTTGAATTCGATGTAATTTGATGATTTTGGTGTTAGTTGATGTGTTTTGGTGATTGGAACAAGTTTTTATGATGTTTTAG